CCATCAGCCACATCTGAATCTGAGCCCTTCGACTGTCAGGTGTGTGGGTCACAGAGAGCTTTATCTGGACTTGCACTGCTGTGAAGCACCATCACAGGACGTGGACCATAAATATCTGAGGCTCTGCCTACATATTAATGAGCCCCTGCACTGTGCCTAGCACTCCCTTACTCTAGGGAGCAAAGAGGCCTCATTTAATGCATCCAGGCGAGCCTCCCAGCAATATGTCATCCAGTTATTTTTTTATGAGATCGTTATCACCGACAGCCACAGGATTAATAAAAATGGAGGGTAATAAAAGAAATCACAGAGGAAACTAATGCTGTCTGCTATGTAATAAAAGGAAGGAAGCAACTTCATTTGTGAGGACAGATTCCCCTTGTCTCAGAAGCACAGAAAGCAAGCCCAGGAGGAAAGGCATAGGAGGGGGCTCCGGATGAGCAGCCCACACACGAGTTCCAGGGAGCCATCTCTCAGTGCTATTCTCTTCCCTATGCACACTAGAGACCTGCACTCCAAAGGAACTGGGATAGAGGTGGGAAAAGTTTTTTTGATGTATTCTGTCTAAACCTTCTCACCCACCCACCCTTCATTTCCACCAACCTCTCCTCAGTTCAAGGTGGAGAGGAGAATCACTATTCTCTTATCTTCTGCAAACAGAAACCCCAATCCAACCCTGATTTTCCTAGAGATGCAAATGGGGTGAGGTATTGCTTCATATTGAATATCATCCCTGTCTTTGGATAAGACCTTGGGCTACCCCATGTCTTATAAAGGAAAGGGGAGGCCAAGCCCTAGTCTGGGAGAGCTAACTTCAAGGAGAATACAGAATCGATTCAGAACAAGATAAATGTGCAGACTGGAACAGGGCAGCCCCTAGCCCTGAACTGTGGGTGTTCATGTGGAGGGGTACCGGGCAGCAAGGTGTCCTCAGCACACAATGCTCCTTTGTAGCCCAGTCCAGAGGAAGAGGAAGGACAATCTGGATAAGAAGGACTGGAAGGGCAGGGTCTAGGACTTGGCCTATCAGGGGAGGAGGTGGGAAAGCAGCCCCTGGGCCACAGTTCTTGTGGAAACAGACATGAGATGAGATGAGGCTCAGAGGGCTGCAGAAGCAGATGGACAAGCAGACACTGCCTATTCTGCACACAGTGACTTGTCAGGGCCAGGGCTTTCTTGAGAAACCTGAGTACTTCAAGAAGTATCATTTGGTCCAATGATCTGCAACCTTCCTTAATCTTATTTCATTTCTAAGGACTTTCCTATGGTTATCAAAAAAGCAAGGTAAGGTAGGCATGGTGGTGCATGCCTATAACCCCAGCAATTTGAGAGGCTGAGGCAGGAGGATCCCAAGTTTGAAGCCAGCCTCAGCAACTTAGCAAGACCCTCAGTAACTTATCAAGACTCTGTCTCAAAACTGAAAAATAAAAAGAACTAGGAATGTAGCTCAGTGGTAAAATTCCCTGCAGTTCAATCCTCAGTACACCCTGCCACCCACCCTCTTGCCAGAGAATAGGTGATGCTTCTAGGGTAAGTCATCTTGCTTTTTCAAGGTATGCGTTGGACATCTCTGGCTTATCTCAGCTCCTACGTGAACACATAGAGAGGGAGGTGGAAATTGTGAAGCTAAGACTTATTCAGAGCCAGATGCACAGCCAGGCTCAGCTGTCAAGCCCAGGGCAAAGAGTCTCCAAGTAGTGGAGATTCTTTGTCCTTCCAACTCTGAGGGTTTTCGCTAGGGATCTGGGCCTCCTGTGCCCCAGATTCCCTTCGGCCTTTCTCCTGGTGAAGACTTGGGGTGCTTGGTGCCAGAGCTTCTCAGAACTGTGGGGAAGGGAGCATGAACAAGCCAGAAGCTCCAGTTTCCTAAGACTCTTGCCTCAGCCAGGGCTGAACTGGAGCCAGTTGGCCGCCTGTCAGCTTGCAATCCAAACACGGCCAAGGCCCCTCGGCCAGTAATAAACCTGGCAGCCGCAAAAACAGGCTGGAGAACCGAGGGATACAGCCCTGTCTGGGTAATGATTAACTGGCAGCGAGGGGACACTGGAGGTCAGAGTGATAATGAGAAAGTTCCCCTGAACCTATCTCAAGTGCAGAGGGCCTGGGGAGGGGCCTTGCCTGGCGCCAACTCGTGGCAAACATTTCCAGCCCGGCTAGGGGACACGCTTTTCAACGACAAAACAGCCTGGGCCTCCTCCTGGGAACAGGCCGTTTGACATCACAGCCCCAGAGAGCAGGACGTGGTAAAGTTTGAGGTGAGGACACAAAAGGGGTGTCTTCCCAGGAGGTGGCGTTTTCCCAAACCTGATAAGCCTTTCCAAGAAGACAGGGCTGAATGCTTATCTTTACTGCCTGCCAGGTCCTAAGACTCCAAGGCCTCTTTGCTCCAGTGAAACTAGGAAAGGATTTTCAGCTGGACTATGGGCTCTCAGATTCTTTTAAGACTTGGAATGGAACTCTCTAGCAACTTTCCACTAAAATCTCAAAACAACTTTAAACGCAGAGCCACTGCCTCAGTTTATACTCATGAGGATGGCCAAGCCCCTGCTTTGTCTCTCCTGTGGTCTTAGCACAGAGTTTAAAAGAATTCTCTCAAAGGGCAGTAAGGCACACATAGAGGAAATAATAATGATAATAAAGATTACAAGATGAAGGATCTCTGAAGCCTCTCTGTGTCCTATGAAGTCACATGTCAGCTAGGGACCAATGGAGTTACCTCATGGGATAGGAAGGAACAAAGACTGATTCACCCAGGTGCCACGAGCTGCTATCCCAACCTGGTTCCTTCACCTTCCATTTGGCTACACACTGTCTTCTCATCCACCAACAAAGTTCTGACTCACATTTTCAGTCTGTCACTCCATTATCCTCAAACTTGCCACCCTCCTCTCCACTGAAGCATCATTTCTACCTACTACGGAAATTAACACCACTTTCCAAATCGTTATAGAAGAGGATTTATGCATAGTTCCTTGAAAAAAAAAAAAAGATCCTGATTCTTACAACACACCTATCACATGATACTCAAAGCTGTGCCAGGATGTTACCAGGTATTGACATCCTGTACTGAGTGAGCAGGCAGCAGTGTTGAGGTTAGATAAGGACCCAGTTCTGGAACTTCTTACTCCAAGAGGCCCTTCACCAAGCAATGTGCTTCTATTCTTTTGTTATCTAATTCGTCTCCTAAATTCTATTAAGACAACACTTAGAGTACACCATTTCCATTTCCAGTAAGTGTCTGTGGGGTAAATCGGTTTTTGTGTTTTTCAGATGTGTAGGACAACACTGACCTAACAGTGTGTGTGTGTACTAAATTGACACAGTTATTGGACATATTTGTAGGTACAGTGAGACATTTCAATACATGTATACAATGTGTAATAATCAGATCAAAGGAATTGGCATTTCTATCACTTGAGACTTTTATCATCCTCTCTACTAGCTACATTAAAATATTCAATTGATCGTTCCACTATGTTTTAATTGATGGCTAAAACATATAGAAAGTACAATATTGACTGGACTGTGACTGATCTACATTTAAATACATTTGATCTACATTTAAAATGTCCACAACATTGCCTGCCCTGATGGTAATTACACCATTACCTATAAAGTTAGTACTTTCAATAAGAAAAAAAATCAAATCAAACCAAGATTCTAGATAAAGCTAGTACTTTATAGGAAATACAAGACTAGGGACAAAATGTCCAATGACATCCAGGGTTATAATCGGCAGAACCCAAAATATGGGAAACTACAAGTTGGCTGGTGCCTATCATAGCTGGGTAATGGTTACATGGGAACTTACGGTATTATTTTCTCTGTTTTGTGAAAATCCTCAATTATAAGGATTAAAATACTCTCAAGTGTTTTTCTCATTGCATGTACATAAATCCTAATAACACTGAGACCTCTCCATAACCCATCGAAATGAAAGATAATGATGGTGAAAATATGGAGAAAGGGCCAACATCTCACTCTTTCTTGTACCTCACCTCTCTACCGAGCTACTTAGATGAACTAGTTAAAGTGCCATCTGCCTCCCCCCTTCCCTGAGGATCATGAACAACACAGCTCCTGAGCGTGAGGAGTACAGAGCCTGTGAAGGCTTGTGTCATCCTTATACTGACTCTAAGTCAAAGAATATCAGTCACGTGGCTCCAGGGAACCCTGGAAATGGGTTTTGGAGGAGATACCAACGTGAGATCTCAGATCTGAGTCCTAGATCTGACCAGGTGAGTGACTGGCTAGCTGCTGAACCTCTCCAAGCACCAATACCCTTCTCTGTAAAAAAGGAAAGCCATTCATCCAAAACCACTGTGGATATGACAATGAAGTAGACAAGCACCCCTGCACTCAAGGAACAAGAGCTGTGCACAGGGAACACCATTACATAAAGTTGAGTGGAGAGGGAAGTGCCACCATGGGATCCGGGTCAAAGAGAACCACTTCTTGAGTTATCAGGGAAGACCCCTGGGAGCAGATGTCATTTGAACTGGACTCTGACAGATTGCTCTGTATATGGAAAGAGAGGGCATGCCTACAGAGGGAGGGCTGAGTCTGGAGCGGGTTTTGGTTGTGTTGAAGCCCAGGGCATAAGAAGGAAGGAGTGCAGGGTGGAAAGTTCAAGAAGCTGTGGAGGCTATGAATGGCCCACACAGTGCATTGGGACTTTACCTGGAAGACAATAAGGAGCCATTTGGAGGCTTTGGGGAGAAGCATTTTTTGTTATTTAATATTATTATAGAGGATACCAGGCATGGTGGTGCATGCCTATAATCCCAACAACTCAGGAGGCTGAGACAGGAGGATCACAAGTTCAAAGCCAGCCTCAGCAACTTAAGAAGCACGAAGTGACTTAGAGACCTTGTCTCAAAACAAAAAAATAAAAAGGGCTTGGGATGAATCTCAGGGCAAAGTACCCTTAAATTCAATCCCCAGTGCAAAAAAAAATATATTATAGAGGATGATTTGGGCAGAAAAACTTGATCCTACTTACATTCTGGGAAGAGAAGACCACTCAGCCTCTCCATGAAACACTTATGGTAGAAACAAGTAGATGACATCTGAGCGTACAGCAGGGCTTCCTTCTCCTGGGATAAAAGTACACACATAAAAACAGGTGGTGAGTCAGGAGATATGGGCAGGGGCCACAAACTGCATATGAGAGAAAGCACAGCAGAAAAATGGTACTGTGCTAACCTCCAAAATGCAGACACGTTTTTAAGTGAAGCCCTGAGAATCATGGGGGTGGATGGCTCCCCTTTTTCTCCCACTTTATAGAGAAACCTCCTCTTTGCATCTTGCCTTGCTCATTTTGGAACCAAATCCTCAAGAATCCAGATGATGACTCTGATTGTCAGGAGGCTCAGACTAACTAGGAGGTCTCCTAGGCCTTGCAGCCAAAGCCTCACTCCCTCAGGGGCTGGTAGGAAAGAGGCCACCTGACCCTGGCATCTAGAACTTTCTAGACTCTTGATATACAGTGATATTTTTTTTTAAAAAAATGCAAGTAGAAAATGCAGGGAAAAGTTTCATAGTGGCATGTCAGACAGCTGATCCATGAATATGTTTTTTTCCATTTGTGGTATTTACTAAGTTTTTTTAAAATCTTAATTTGATGATATTTTTCTCTTCTTATTCTAAAAAAAATTACCTTTAGTCAACTTTATATTCTTTTCCTTAAAAATAACCCTCCAATAGATTAGGCCCCTACTTCCTTAATAAGACTCCTATAGAACAAGAAATAAAATTAAGAATCAATAAATGTGATGAACTCAAACTAAAAAGTTTCTTCTCAGCAAAAGAAACAATCAGTGAGGTAAATAGAGAGCCTACAGCTTGGGAGCAAATTTTTACCTTGCACATCAGATAGAGCACTAATCTCTGGGGTATATAAAGAACTCAAAAAGCTAAACACCAAAAAAACAAATAACCCAAACAATAATTGGGCTAAGGAACTGAATAGACACTTCTCAGAAGGTGTTATTCAATCAATCAACATCTCTAGCAATTAGAGAAATGCAAATCAAAACTACTCTAAGATTTCATCTCACTCCAGTCAGAATGGAAGCTATTAAGAATACAAACAACAGTAAGTGTTGGCGAGGATGCAGGGGAAAAGGAACACTCATACACTTCTGGTGGGACTGCAAAATGATGCAGCCAATATGGAAAGTAGTAAGGAGATTCCTTGGAAAACTTGGAATGGAACCACCTTTTGATCCAACTATCCCACTCCTCAGTATATACCCAAAGGACTTAAAAACAGCATACTACAGGGACACAGCCACATCAGTGTTTATTGCAGCACAATTCACAATAGCTAAATTGTGGAACCAACCTAGATGCCCTTCAGTAGATAGATGAAAGGATAAAGAAAATGTGGTATATATACACAATGGAATATTACTCAGAATAAAAGAGAATAAAATCATGGCATTTGCAGGTAAATGGATGGAGTTGGAGAATATAATGCTAAGTGAAGTTAGCCAATCCCCCAAAAAGCCAAATGCCAAATGTTTTCTCTGATATACAGAAGCTGATTCATAGTGGAGTTGGGAGGGGGGGCATGGGAAGATTAGACAAACTCAAGATAGAATAGAGGGGAGGAAGGGGAAGGGAGGGGGCAAGGGGCTAAAAAAGATGGTGGAATGAGATGGACATCATTATCCTAAATACATATATGAAGACACAAATGGTGCGACTCAACTTTGTATACAACCAGAGATATGATAAATTGTGCTCTATATGTGTAAAATGAGTTTCAATGCATTTCCTTTCATATATAACAGATTAGAATAAAAATATAACCCTCCAAGTTGCATAATATCAGGTTCCCCAATATCTTTATCCCAAGACCTCAGAGGGCACCCTGTTCTCACTGTCCCAGTTCCCTGGAGGACCTTCCCCCTTGCCCAGGTTTCACAGCTCCTTGTCCCAACATGGCTTCTATGTGTTCCCTGGATCTCTGTGCACCAGCACACTGTCTTCTCAAGAGGAAGCTGGGGGCTGTACTGACCCGCTGTGCAAACTCTGTGCTGAAGGCTACCAGGACTCATGTCCAGGAAACTGCACACTACTTTTGTGGAAACCTCTGCAACCCTGTGATTCCAGGGAAGGCAGCGGCTCACCTTCCTGGTGACAAGGAAGCATTAACACATGGGGTGTATCTACTATAGAGGTGCACCCACACAACCACTCACTAGCCAAGGCTTGAGGGCTCTGGTCTAGCCTTCAGTGTTTACTCTGCAAAATAATTCTTAGAACAACAAAGGAATAGTAAGGGTCTCTTCCCCAGTTACCAAAATCCCAAATTCTTCAAAGCACAAGTGGTTTTACTATTGTTGAAAATAAAACAAACAAACAACAACAAAAAAAAAAAACCACTCTTTCTAGAGAATAACTGATCCATCCAAATAATGTGTATCTATTGTAAAAGCCTTTCAGAAACAAGGCAGGCCACTGCCTTACTCTCCTTTTTCACCAAATTTAAGGCACCTCCAGCCATGACAAGTAAGTGGAGTTCCTGCAGGAAGTGTCCCACAGGAAGAGGCTGATGCCCTAGGGGGTGATGTCACTGCCCATTGGCTTGCCCACTCTATTCTATATGCCACCAGGGTTCCTCGGCACCAAGAACTGGAGAAGTGATGACCAACACCCTGCATACAGAGGCTCCAGCCCCTGGGATCACCCAGTCCTCCTCTGGTGTCCTCACACGAGTAGTCTGAACAATGACCTTCCAGGAAGCTTCCGGAAGAAAGATACTGTCCAGGTTCCCAGCCCATGCCTAGTACTGCTCTTTGCTGTGACGGATGCTCAGTGTGTATTTGTTAAGTATACTCACCCTAACGATCAATGCACCTACATACTTCACAGCCTATTCTCACTCAGTGGGGTCCACAAGCTCTGAGACCCCAGTGATGTTAACTATCCCTATGTTAACTGTCCCTCTGAACCCACTTGTTGGCTGGGCCAGAATAACAGAATCAAGTCAGAAGGATCAGGCCAGAAGCTGAGAAATGAACCAGATCCTCCCAGCCAGTGCAGGGGTGTGTGGTCATGCCTGGGCATCTACATGTGGGCACAGTCTTTGGCTACATCTTCCGCATAATTGGTCAACATGGGGGGCCTGGGTCCCCAGGAAGGACTCCCTAATCAGTGCCCAGGGTGAGGATAGTTTTCCACTGTGTAATTATCCTGTGGGCACAGCAGGAACTTGACATTTGCTTTGGTTGGGGCTGCTAGGGAGCAGCTGTTCAAATCTAGAATGGTCCCACCCTCCTCAGACTACTGATCATTTGCTGATCATTCCCCTGACTGTATTTGGTCTTATCATCCACCCAGAAACTCTATCTGAAGTTTGGGTGATGAAGCTGTCTCTCCTGGCCCTTATTTGCAATTCCAGATTTCTAGCCCTTGGCTTTTTTTTTTGGACCAGGGCCTTTAAGCCCTGTATCAGTGGCCCCTGCAAGGCAGTGTAGCATCTGCTTCCTCCTGGAGGCCCTGAGCCTGCCAGCAGAATCAAGTGTCCCTTAAGAGCCTAGGACCGCAGCATCCAGGGGACAGAAAGACAGGTCTACTAGAATTACTATCATCAGTGGCTACAGGAAGAGTGAGAAATCTCCATGTAGATTCCAGACCACAGAGCCCCACAGCTGTAGTGGGTAGAAGAAAGGGGATTCAGATGTGAGGGCAAGATAGTCACTAGACGTGTGGTCCCAGGCAGGCATGAGCCTTGCTGGGTTTCAGTTTCCTCTTCTGTAAAATGGAGATCTTATAGGGTTGTGAGTCTATATGAAGCTATAAAGCCCTAATACACTGCAGGTAATATATGATTCTTATGCTTATTTAAAGATATCTCCCAAGCTCTTCCTCCTGCCAAGGGAATCTGGCAGGGGAAGTGTTCATTACTAATAATGTGTGCTATGTGACACAAAAAAATCTAGAGGCTCCGGCAAGGAGGGCAGAACCAAAATGAATTCGGTTCCCACTCTGCTGACCTGCAGGAGATGGTGTGGTCCCAAGTTCCTCTGGACAGTTCTGCTGCCCTCCAAGAAGGACGCCCCAGCTGCTGGTCACTTTCTCCAGCCATTCACTGTCTCTCTTCTGTTTCTAATACACACTCTCTCTCTCACACACACACACACACACACACACACACACACACACATCTATCAATAAAGTATTAAATATTATTTAATACTCATTTCATTTTCACTGGATATTATGGTATAACATACTCAGTAGAAAGTACGAAAGTTAATGAATTATCTGGAAATTTTCCTTTTGCAGGTGGTTGTGGGACTGGAAAGGGGAAACACCTCCTTCAATAGGTAGGCACCTGCTTCTGAGTTCTTTTGATAAAAGTGTAGATTCAACTTATCTGATCAGCTAGACAGAGTTCGTACTTCCTTTTTTATAGATGGAGAAATGAATCACACCATGACAAACTGGCTGAGACCCCCAAACCCGTGCTCTGGGCACCACTGTACCCACTGCCTCACTTCCTCCAATTTGTCAGGACATGGTAAATCTAGGAACTTGCCTATCAACTGCATCATCCTCATTTTTTGGTTTTGACAAATTAAACTAAGCCCCTCCACTCCTCACCCATACCATGGTTCAAATAAGAAGAACAAGTGACGTTCCATTGTTTGAAAAACCTTTTATTTATTGAGCCAATAATTGGCAAAACCAGGTTATGATGGCAATCTTTACTGGTCCCTCCCTCAAGGAAGCAGGAAAGACCCAGAGGTGTGGGTCTGGATCTCACAGAGATCTTGTATCTGGAGATGACAAACCTTCCCCCTTCCACTTGGGCCTGGGGATACCTGCCAAGTCCAGGGACAGGTAAACAGGGAGAAGATGGGGCTGAGGAACATCCTGGCTGTTTGTTAACATTTGGTTGAGAAGTGAAGTTGATAGGGAGAGAAGGATTTAGAAACTGCAGCCACCCGGTGTGTGGTTATTGCTAAGTCTAGTGTATACTGAAAAGTCCTTCTGGGTTGGTTTGTTTTAAGCTCAGGTTCATGTTTTGATCCCTGGGAGCCTCCCAAAGTCCCCCAGCAGCTCCCATAGTCCCCAGGCTGTG